CTTTCAACGTGTATCCGCTATCACAATTAAAATAAACAAATTGATTGGTAGCCGAAGAAAGAGTCCGAACAAGTGACTGTAGAATGTGATGGGTATTTCGGTTCACTGCATATCATTTCTATAAAAAACAAAACAAATAAGTACCTACATATTATAGTATAAACTGCATTCTGTTCCACTTTGTAACAAGGGCACATTATCGCAATATACGCCCAGCACAGAAGCTTTTGAAAGAGATGTGGGCATTACTGATATGCATATAGGAGATATGCTCTGGGCAATATCTGGAAAAAATCTGGATATATTATCATCTCTAGTGATTTTATTATCTGACATTTCACCCTTATGTGTGGCCTTGACCTTAGCAGCAGCGGCCTAAATTTTGTGTGCGACACTCATACAATAGTGCGACTTCACAATAGTGAACCTTTGTGCCAAGTTAAATTGAAATCCCTCTATGCATGTAGAAGATTTGCTCCAGACAAGCATTTTTCAATGACCTCTAAGTGTGACATTGACCTTTGACCTAGATGCCTGGTTCATGCGTACCACACGACTTCTGATTTAGATAAACCATTTACTGTATTAGAAATACGTAAAGCTATTACTTCACTGAAAAACAATAAAGCATAATCTTCCTTTGATCATGTATTGAATGAATATCTGGAAAAAGTATCCGACAGCATGTTTTAAGTGTTTTGCTATTTGTTTAATATTATTTTAGATTCTGTAATTTTTCCTGAGGTTTGGAGTAAAGGAATTATTTTACCAATATACAAAAACAAGGGTAACATAGATGATCCAGATAATAATAGGGGAATTACTATACTTAGTTGTTTTTGGAAACTTTTCACAAATGATCTTAACTCTAGACTCAATAATTGTTTAGAAAGTAATAACATTCTCTGTGAAGAACAAGCTGGATTTAGGAAAATGTATAGTACCACTGATCATATATTTTCTCTGAAAACTTTGATTGATTTATATATATCTGTCTAAAGGTAAAAAGTTATATTGTTTTTTTATTGATTATAGAAAGGCTTTTGATAGCATAAATAGAACTGCACTTCGGCAGAAATTAATTAGCAATAATGTTGATGGTAAATATATAAAGATCATTTATAACATGTATTTACAAGTTAAGTCTTGTGTTAAAATTAATTCTTTAAGTCATATGTCAGAATTTTTTACAAGTCATACAGGTGTTCGTCAGGGTGAAAATTTATCTCCCATATTGCTTTCTTTATTTTTAAATGATTTAAACTATTTCCTGTCATAACATTTTAATGGTCTGGATCTACTATCAAACATTGTAAATGATACCCTGGATGATTCTGATGTTGAAATGTATTTTAAATTGTATATTCTTTTATATGCTGATGACACAGTTATATTTGCTGAATCTGCTGAAGAACTGCAAAAAGCACTAGATGCAATGTCAAATTATTGTCAATTATGGCATTTACAAGTTAATCCTAGATTTTAAGTAGCAAACAAGAATCAATAAGCCATATATTGTATGATATGTCACACTCTTTGTATTGTAGAAATGTGTTGAAACTCCCATAGATGAATAGTGTGTGTAAATTACTAGATTCACTGGGTTTATTAAATTTTTGGATTAATAATGTTGCCACTTCTCTTCCGTTGTTTAAGAAAATTGTTAAAAATAGACTGAAAGATCAGTTCATACAAAATTGGCATAGTGAAATGTCAGAATCCGGTAAATGTCTGAATTATAGAATGTACAAAAGTGAATACAGATTTGAAAAGTTTTTAGATATTTTACCATCTCATTTAGCTTTGGTACTATTGCACTTTAGATGTATGAACCATAAATTGATTATTGAGTCTGGTAGATTTTGTAATATACCAACAGAATTAAGAGTGTGTAATTTATGCAATAATAGCTCACTTGGTGATGAATATCATTACTTATTTAATTGTCAATTCTTTAATACTGATAGAAAAAAATATTACTAGAGATTATAGTACTAATGTTAATTCAATCAAGTTTTCTACGTTAATGAATAACACAGATAGGAGTATATTGTTAAAACTTGCAGTATTCTGTAAAAAAATTGTATCAGCATTTAAGTAACTGATAACTAAGCTTATTTTCATAAAGTAACATTTTCATTTTACATAGCAGTTGATAGGTGGAAAACAGGTGACCAATAGGTGATATCGGCGTTACACCCCAGTTACACAGAGCCATCGGTGATTGATCGGTAGTTTTTTTAGCCAAATTAGGGAGTGAACCGATGACAACGTATTTAACACCGATATCACCTATTGGTCACCTGTTTTCCACCTATCAACTGCTATTGGGGAAAGATAAGTTTCATCGGTGAAAAATTACCGATTGGGATTTTTAAACACGTTCGGTGAAAATATTTTACAAATAACCGACAGCAACCTATATCACGAGATATGCAAGCTCCTAATCACCGATATCGCCGATCGGACAAAGATAACCAAATAAGAATCACCGGCCATATCTGACGGAAAGTGTTTAACCACTGATGACTAGCTATCAAACACCGATTAATCAGCGTTACGCCCGATTTAGCTCCGATTTACAAACGATAAAAACCAAAAGTATTTCAGCATTTAATCATCGACCCGTTCCCGTTTGAGTTTGCTTTCTGTCACCGATGGCCGTTTACACAGAAAACCAGAAATAAAATCACGCATGACAACCGATCATAACAGCGAGTAAATTTAAAATTAAATGACCGATTGGGGACCGACCTTCTGTGTAACTGGGCCCAAATACGTTGTCAGTGGTTCACTCCATAATTTGGCTAGAAAAACTACCGATCAATCACCGACGGCTCTGTTTAACTGGGGTGTTACGTTACAGAAAATCCCTGACCACCGGTAATATTCCCAATGACTGGACCCGTGCAAACGTATGCCCTGTCTACAAAAAAGGTGATACAAGTGATCCAGCAAACTATCGCCCAATTTCCCTTACATGCATCCTTTGTAAAACACTTGAACACATAGTTGCCTCTTAACTATCCTCTCACTTTACCACCCACAACATACTCTTTGATCTTCAGCATGGATTCAGAGAAAGACGATCATGTGAGACACAACTCATTGAACTTACTGATTACCTTGTGAACAGCCTTTCAAATGGCAAACAAACAGATCTCATACTTCTTGACTTCTCCAAAGCATTCGATAAAGTAAACCATCTTAAACTCTTAGATACCCTTCAAGAACATGGTGTTTGTCCTCAAATTATAAACTGGATACAGTCCTTCCTTATTGGCCGTAGACAGACAGTAGTTGTGGATAGTGACTGCTCATCTGAAGTCCCAGTTACCTCTGGAGTGCCCCAAGGCTCTGTACTAGGGCCCCTTTGCTTCATTTAATATAATTTAAGATGATATTTTCTCCTATTTAATAAGTAATTCATGAGGGTTTTTGAATAATCCTTATTCAAGACTGGACAGAAGGGAAATCGGGAAGGGTTTTAATGCATACAAGTACAATCATCGCAAATTGCCGTTATTCTTTTTAAATGAACCGGGCTTTGCCGTGGCTTTACCGGGATCAATCGTAGCTCCATTGTCATCCTCTGGGGCTCTGCTGGCATTCTCCGGGGCTCTGCCTGCATTCACCGGGGCTCTACCGTAGCTCTGTTGGCTATATAATACCCCGGATCATCCCCGATTTGTGTTGGCAAAGCTATGGTGCTTCTCCTGTGTAACCCCGGTCGTTCCCAACAAAGCTAAGGATGAAGCCGGCTAAGCTATACCTTCCCGGATCACCACGGACCACCCCGGTGATATTAAATATTCTATTCCATCCGGGGTCGAATGCCGGATGTTCCGGATCATCCCGGACGTTGCCGGCAGAGTTACGAATGTAGCCCGGTAGTCGAGCGTCGCTGTCCTCCGACAGCTCTTGTTATTACTATTTTCCGTTCTTATTATGTTTTCTTTTCATATATGATGCTAAATTTCTGTCGCTTTTATGAATAAAATATGAAAAACAAGATCAACAAGGAAAGGCGGCATTCAATGAACGCAACTTAAGTTGCATACTTATGATGACGTCATTGCTCTGCTAAATAATTTGCGTAGATTTATTTTAAATAATTTTTCATGAACTGCTATAGAAAAAATATAAATGTAGTGTTCGCATTATAAGCATAATATGAGCGGAAAACTTCAATAAATATGCATTTAAAGGTTTTATTAAACATCTTATTGGAGGGGGGAAACAAACAAACAAACAAACAAAACATACAAAACAACTAAACAAACAAAAAACGCATAAATATGTAGTCCCTAATCAGTGTTTATCCTGAGCTAAGAATGGTGTGGTGATTAAAAAAATGCACTGTTATTGACACAAACATTTCTATAGCTGATGATTTAAACATTGCTGTTTAACTCATTGAAGATCAAAGATACAGACTTCATGTAAAACTTAACAAAATTAAAACAGAAATATGTTTAAGGTCAGTGTTTGATTCAGCAAAAAGTGGAAAGTTTTTGTAGTTTGAATGTGAATATCAAACAGGTGTAGACGAAATCCGCAAAGCTACCCAGAACCGGCCTTCTTTTCCTAGACCATGCACACCAAAGGACATCAAGGATAATTATAATGTTGATGTTGGTGAGAACACTGCTGTTGTTAATTGGACCGTACCGTCAGCCACGGATAGAGATGGAGGTACTCCAAGGTAGGTAACAATAGTAGGTTATGTCATCATAACTTTTGTTTAAAATTATTTGTTTAAAAACCCATTTTGCTATAGATTTATTTGATTTCTAATTGGTGTTCTGTTATAGTTTCCGAGAATTTACACATTTGCCATTTACCTGAGCATGACCTGTTACCCTTTTTTGAAATTATTTATAGTTGTTATGATTTAGTATTTTGTATGAAAGTCAAAATACTAGTTTCTTTACATTTCACTATTTTTATGACTTGCTTTTCCAGCAATTTTTAAAAAATGATTTTCCTTCTTTTGACGTTTGAAAATTGTCATCCTCATACATTTAGATACTTTCCTGGATTTTTATCGTGGTATTGCATGTATGGCGATATAACAGATATTTGTTTTATTCAGATGACTTGAAAAGGAAGTAAATT